TATAATTTGTTGCCTGTGGGAGTAACATAAAATAACATGGTAACTTTTCCTTCAGTTAAGTCAAAATCAGTGATAAATCCTCACCTTAGAGCTGGATATGGAATTTCTGTGATGATACAGCTATCTTTAGTGCTGCCTAAAAAGTCATCTTGATGAATTTGTTTTCAAATGAGCTTTAATGTACAACTAAAACTCCTTTCTTTGCAAATAGTTTGAACGTCTACCTTGTTGCATGACAATGCGATATCCATGGTTATCTGAAATAGAACAAAGACTTTTGTAGGACCTTGGAAGATGGTTTGTTTTTTTTTTTTTTCACTTATATGAAGAAAACAAATTACAAATAAAATATAAAAAATATAACATTATGTATACTATTTACATTATTTGGACTATTGTCTTCATCTTTGTTGCCATATTTATTACATTTCAGCCATTGTATATGCCAGCCTTTTTCAGGTTGTTGGAATTTCAAACTGTACCCTTCATTTCACTTGCTGGGGTAGACTGTTCTAGTTCCATGTCTAATGGATGTCATTTATCAGTTAATTCACCTCTCCAAGTTCTCCACTGCCATAACCAGATATTGAACTCACTGGATCTAACCACCACCTTTATCCACTGTGCCATGTGTCCTTAAGGACATATCTGTATGAATTTCTGGGACTTATAAACTTAATATCTTCAGCAACCATTTTTACCAGTGCTCATATTACAATTTTTGCTATTATCATTGCATGTTTTTTCTCAGAAATATAGACAGATAACATTAGGCATGTGTTGATCCTTCTGGAACACTCCTACTCCAAGGAAACCTCTTAAGTCCTAATCTGAACTTGATATTTTATAACCTCTTGGGGAGGTGTAAAGTAGACTTAAAATCTAAAAGAAATCATAAATATTTCTTTGTAAATAAACAGGTTCTGGCATGTAAGCTCTGTTATTAGTAGTATTATTGAATAGCACTTATCAAGCAATTAGGATTTCTCTGTATTGTTGGAATTTGTTTCATTGAAAATATTTAGATTGTAAGATATACAAGATCTAAAAGCTTAAACTGTTTCCACTTAATTTGATCTCTTCTGGAATGTTGATACTTTAAAAAGTATTATAGCCATAAATTATTGGCAAAAACTCAAAACCTTATATATTGTTTCCAAAAGAGTTTTCATATGCTAAACTTTAACTCTAAGATACTTTTTTTTTTTTTTCTAATTTTTAGGGCACTTTGAATTACTGCATATCTTAAAGTAATAAATTATTAAAAACATTTTATACTGGAGAGCAAAATATATATATATATATATATATATATATATATATATATAAATATTACATGTTTGTTCCAGCATTCTTTCTTATACAAGTTCAATTATAGCTTACTAACATGGTACTGCTATTAAGCTTTTTATTTAATTTTTCTTTAAATATTTTCTTTTCTGGACATAGTGTAAAAACTGTCCACATATCTTGTATATCCAAGTGTTTTCAACTATTCTGTTAGCCATTATCAAGGATACTTTATTTTTATTTATTTTTTTATAACTGAAATATTATGTATGAATAGCTGAAACTAATCGGATATATAAAACATTTGTACAGTTTTAGCACTTTGTGTCCAGAAAAGAAAATGCTTATATGAACACAATTAAGATTAAATAAAAAGCTTAATCACAGTACCTTGTCAGTTGTCTTTTAATCAAACTTATGTGTATATGCTTAGGACTTTACCCCCACTCTGCCACCCACTGAAATGGTTTTTCCGTTGACCCAAACATTGAGGAAGTAGACTTCTCAATTGCATAAGCAGACTCATAATTTAACTGAAATCTTTAAAACTTATCTTACAGCTGTAAACTTCCGTGAACTTTTTTCTTTTCTTTTTCATATTCTCACTTTCTCCACTATCCTTCCTTATATCCTCCTCCTCCCCTGCCACATAGTTTAGATTTTTTGCATTTTCTCTTTTTTGTGAAGTTGCATCAATAAGTTCATAACCTGATCTGCATTGATTAGCTAAATTTTGGTTTGAAATTTTAACTGTATAATATCCAATCTATGGGATTAATTTTCACCATTGCCCAGTGTGAAAGTGTGTAATATATATATATATATATATATAAATTTTTCTTCATCATTAGGTTACACACTTATTGTATTTTCTTCTTTCTCTTAACAGAGCTGAGAAACGTCTTTTGTATGTAAACTTTTAAAGTTACTGCATATATTCAAATTTTAGTTTTGTGTGAATTTGATTGCCATTGCCTGCTTTGTAAGCCTTTTATCAAGTTTCTTACTTTACCAAAATTTTTTTTTTTTTAATTTTATTCTTTATTTGAAACCCAAACTTGCTTCATCCTTCCAGAGATTGAGATAGATCCATTAACCAGAAAAGAACAGGAAAATCACTTTAAAGCTGGTTGAAGGAAACTTCTCTGGTTTCCCTTTTCTAATGTTCAAGTTACTATTTCTTCAGATTTGTACTGCTCTCTACTAGTGATTCTTAATGGTTGGAATATTGCATCTACTTTTGATAGACTCTTTTCTTCACTCACTTTTTTCAGTGAACAATATCATGTACAACAAAGATTTTTTTTTTTTTTTTTTCTTTTTTTTTTGCAAAGTATAAAATATAACTCTAAAATCTAAATTGATCATTGACTTTTCAATATTATTTTAACTTATTGGGATTGCTTGAGGAATGTAGTTTTTATTCTTTATTTTATGAGTAGGATTAGTCTTGTGAATGGGAGAAGAAAAATGTGGGTTGTGATGAGGCATTGGAAAAAGAAAGCTATTTTTAACCAGACATAACAGCTGATGACTTAAGGCATTGAGTTGCAGATCAACTAGTGTCATTTTAAATAGAACAAAGTCTATGGCATTCTATAGTTCTATTTGCAGGTGAAATTGTGAGATAGCATTCCTAGCTTTGAATTCTCATAAAAATGCGCATATGTTACTGGAGATATTCACTTCATATTTAACAAGACAATTTCTTTTTGAAAAAAGGTCAGTTGACACTAATTTTAGTATAATATAAGTATTGATTTAAAAAAAAAAAATCTCTGGTTATCATTCACAATTAAGAAGCAAACTGCTAAAACAAAGTATCTGGAAAATATCCATCCATTTACTATTAATGAAAAAAAATATAGCTTGCCTAAGGCAGTGGCACCTTAGTCCCCTTCAGAGTACTCCAGTTTGAACTGTACACTTTTCAAAAGTGTCTTCAAAAAAAAAAAAAAATTTTTTTTTTTTTTTTTTTTTTCAGAATTATCATGTTCTTAAACTCTTCTATAATCTCTCTCTGTCCCAATTTTGAGTTTTGGTGAAGTTGTTGCAGTGCTAAACCAAAGCAGTAAGGGTGGGGGCTAACAGATTTATGTGATGTTTTAACCAAAAAACAAAAACATTATGTAAAATAGTTGAATCTTAGACAGTTAAGATATCCAAAATGTTTAGCTGGATGCTTTCTTAACGGTCCCAATAACCAATGAATATTAATTCTTGCACTTTCAGCAACCAATTTCTTTTGACTGCATACATTCAACATTTTCAGGCCTTGGACTACTTCACTGTAAACCCAGTCAAGTTTGAAGCATGCTGCTACTAAGATTTTATCTGGACATCACTTACTAAATCCTTCCTGAAAGTGTTCTTAATCAATTCAATAGCTTTCAGGGATGAATGTCCAAAGTTCACAAATCTTGGATATTTACTATGAATGTAATAGCACTCAATACCCAAGCTCAGTCATTGGAATTACACTGCTGATGTAATAACTCTACAGGAGAGTCTTCATACATGTGTTGTAAGGTCTCCTCTGATTGGTTGCCAAGTTACCTCAAGATTGCGTAACTGATACTTAAGATATTCAAAATGACTGGATAGTTTTTGGATGGATTTAAATGTATACTATTTATTTTTTTATTAATTTTTTTTATTTTGTTCTGGTCAAAGTTTTTGCTTGTCTGAAACTGAACTTAGTACTTGAAATAGCGGAGAAACATTGAAAGCTGTTCTTGATTTTAATGTCATTTATTCAATATATTCAAATATAGCAGAAAAACTCTTCCTTTTTATTGGATAGGATAAAGAATTTATAAAATCTAATTTGGTTATCTGAATCAATGAAAAGCCTTCAGTTTAATGTTGACACTACATATATCTTTTCAGATAATAATGCTATCCAATGGCAATATCTTCAGTGTTCAGGCTATCTTGTCAGTCATGCAGTAACAAAAAATAGCATTTTAATCTCAACAGAACTGTACAGTATCTTTTATATATTGTAAAGAATGTTTTCATAATACATTATTTTAATGTTTGACAATGTTAATTGCACATACATTTTCTCTGCAATCTTTTATGGGCAGAAATGTAACCCTTTCAAAAAATTTCATAGTAAAAATATTACATTACACAGTATATTTACAGTAATTAGAAAAATCTGAAAATTTCACAGGTTTTTATTTAAATTTTCTGATGAGTCATATAATTAAGTTAATTATTGAATAAGCTCCTTGTGAGTTTTATGGCTATAAAATATGCCCATATTGCATTGTTAAATATTTGAGGTTAACAATTTATTATTTAAAGAAGCAAGGAGGAGTTAATGAAAAATTCAAAATTGAAAAGGTTATTCATCTTTACTCAAACAGGATTGCATTATCTCCTCCTCTACCTTCTATTTTTTTTTTTTTTTTTTTTTTTTTTCCCCTACTGAAACCAGACTACATCTTTGTCTTTTTTTTTTTTTTTTTTCTTCCTAATCAAAATATTTATGAAGTTTTAGTAGGACATAATATACATGCTAACTAAGAAACAAGCAGAATTGTCATGATTATTTTCATTTAAAAAGAAATATATCCTGCTAATTAACCAGTTTTTTCTTTTTAATGTTTTTTTTTTTTTTTTTTTTTTCTGTTATCATTTCTGTTAGATGTTCTTATAATCTTAAATATAATTTTAAATTGATGCCTTAATGCTTCATAGCTTACAGCCATATCATATTGAAACACCAGTTCTTGTCTGATCATCAAAGTTAAGCAATGTCAATCCTGGTCAGTACCTGAATGGGTGACCACTTGAGAATACCAGGTACAGTAAGTTTGGATGTGTGGGTAGCGTAATGGACAATACAATGAGAATCAAGTTTGAATTCCAGTGGGGTTTGTTATATTCACTTACACACAAATACTCTTGGGGGGAAAAAGTATAAATGAACTTCTTGCCTACTGTGTGTAAAATAGCACTTTTTTTCTGAATATTATCTAAAAAATAAAAGTTTTCTTACAATCCAAAAAATGTTTTGGCTTTAAATAGAAATTTAAGTAGAAAAGGTTGATAAACCATAAAAACAGTCAATGCTTCATATGTTGTTCATTTTTCTCTTTTTATATTTTACTTTTTTTAAACAAATTTATAAACAAATTCTGATTTTTTTTTTTTTTTTTTTTTATTATAAACTTCTTTATATACAAACTTGCTTTTTTTTTCTTTTTTGTTCTGATTCAGCTGATGATGATTCCAGTAATCTTTTAAATATTAATAAAATTGATTGCTTTTTTTTCCTGTTAGACAATAAATGTCTTTTCAAAAATTTTGAAAGATTTATTTTTGATCCCCCCCCCTTCCAATTTTGTTTGTCTTTGGGCTATGTGCCAAACAGATGAAACATTTTCAGTATTTTTGTTTCTATCTTTGCATTCTTCTTAAGCAAATTTTTTTTTTCTTTATAATTTTTGCTCTTAACCTAATTTATTGCAGTACACTCTTTAAATGCTTAAAGTCAAAAGAAGTTATGACTGTTTCTTTTTTTTTTCAGCCTGAAGCCTTCTTGGTTTTGGGTCAGCAGTACATAGCTATTAAGAGCCCAACATTTTTATGTAAGTCAATGGACAATACACTGTCATGAAAAATAAGTACAACTTGTGTTATTTCGCAGTTGAAAGTCTTTGTTCCAACTATTGAAAGTAAAGTTCAGGTCACTTTAAATTCTTTGATATTTTGAAAACTATCATGTTTTCAATTGTATATTGTCTATTGTTGCTCTACTTGTTACATCAGCTTCTAATTAGACAGTATGATGACTATCACCCTATTTTTCCTCTGGGATCCCCTGTATTGTTGTATATATGTATTTATCTGTTGCTATTTGAGACTTTTTTTTTTTTTTTTTTTTTTTTATCTAATCCTTAATTTGCTAAAGTTGTTATTTTTTATATATGATTAATAGATTATAATAATTGAAATAATGTATATTGTAAAAGTTAATGTTTTTTTTTTTTCCCCTAAATTTTCTGAATTTGTAGAAAATTAATATTAAAAATTTTAAATTCAAACAATAACCCCCCCCCAAAAAAAAAAAATGCATACATTCAAGTAGTATTTGTAATATTAGACTAACCTTCTTATCTAGTTTTTGTATTTGTTGAGCCTTAGCCCTTGCAAATTCTTTATTGTATGAATTATCCAGGTATTGTTGATTTTTGTGCTGAGGGTTATATTGCTGAGGGCTGTCCTTGTTTTCTTGGAGAGTTCATATTGAGAGTTTCTGGGAGTTCCCTCAACATGGCATACTCTGTTCTTTCTATTACTATCCTTTGTGCTCTCCTAAAACTGACTGATGTCGATTGATAAACCAGGTGGAACTAGTTTTTAGGTCTCCTAAATCTTGAATGTCAGGTGGTTTGACATCTGTGCCAATTTTGGGTGGAGCTTTTCCAATCACTTCCATTGATCTACCACAGTAGTTTGTTTGAATTTCTGGAATGAGTTTTATTTAGTCAGACATTAGTAAATAACTTGTCATTCAAGAAATTCAGATGGAAACAGTGTTTGATATTTTGAAGAATACTATACATGTCAGCACTCATTTTAATTACAAATTGAATATTAAAAAAATATATGCATAGTTTGTTAGTAAAGATTAAAGTTGCACAAATTAAAATTGCCTATTAAGATTAGGACATTGAATTTATAATTCCAATGAAGTTACAATACTAACATGTAAAGAAAATGCTTGCTTTTTAAATTATTTTTATGTATATTTTTGTCCGTCTCTACTCATTTCATTAGTTTCATTTTGGCATGATGTGAATGTTTCCAAGAGATTTTTATATTCCTCAGTGTATACATAATATGCATGGATTTGTGTGAGGATTAGTCAATCTTTAAAAATTTACATTTTTCTGACAAACAAAAGCTTAGTTTTTACATAAGTACACTTTTTTTTTTTTTTTTTTTGCTAGGTCTGAAATATAACCTTGACAAAATGTGTTGTTTTTAATGGGTAGACAGAAAATAAATTTTAACTTCTCATTAAAAATAACAAGTGCCACTTCAATTTCCCAGTCTATATATTCTCAATTAAATTTTTGTACATACAAATATAAACAAAGGAAGTGCTAAGAAAAACTAGTTGGTCTGATCATCTTTCTTTTTCTTTCTATTTTTTTTTTTTTTTTTTTTGTATTAAAAATATGAATAAATGATACTTTATTCAAAAGAACTAGTCTGTTTTTTAGGATTTGAAAATCTGCTCACTTGAAACCTTATTTCATAAAAGTTGATTTTTGGCAGTTGATATCTTATTCTTATTAATGCTGTCTTCCTCACAATATTCAAGTAACACACACCTATATTGAAATAGCTTGAATACAACTCAAAACTATACATGCATGCATATGTATACACATTTGAATGCATCTGTTTCAGTCATCATTGTCTGTTCTCATCTCTTGAATCTTTCACAGAAACTGAAATATTCATCTTCAAACTTTTTTTTTTTTTTTTTTTTGCGCTTATTTTCTTTCACATTATTTTTTTCTTCCTTGTTTCTCATTTTTTTTAATCATTTTTGTTATCTAATGCAGTGGAGGGAAATGAAACTTTCCAGCATCAGTTGATTCATATTGTACCCTAACCCAACTCTTTCACCCTTAAAAAAAAAAAAAAAAAATGATCTTAATCAATTATATCAAATGATGATGATGATTCTCATTATGATTAAATTGGCTAATTTTGTAAATGTTGTTTTGTTACTATCTCAACATTAGCTTTAATTCTGTCCTGTTCATTTGACTTCTGTTAAGTTTTTTTTAAGGATTATCAAAACAAAAATTGAATTTTACCTGCATTGAAAGAAATATGTTGTATTATGTATTAGAGAGGTGTTTGAGCCAAACAATATTGAGAAATTATTGCATGTAATGTGATTTCACCCTTTTAAATATTTAAACTAATTTAACTAACTTAATTATTTAAACTAACTTCAATATTTTTTCTTATTAATAACAGTTTAATTTAGTCTTTGACAATATTTTTTTCATTTGCACAGTTACAAAGGATATTTCATGTTTCAGGATGGTTTTGAATCTCGTAATTGTTGAATCTCAAATGAAAGCAAAATTTTCACGTTGATTTTTTTCAAGGTACTTAGGTCTTCATTTAGAAAATTGATACAACACAATTTTGCATCTTCCTCACTGTCTTTGACTTTGTGCCAGGTTCAGTTAATCATAATATATAAAACCCAATTGGTTCTAAAAATTATTTCTTTTAATATGGTAGTCCAATAGATTATGAATGCTGGAAAGCTCTTGGTCCAATCCATTCTATCAAATCTGACCAATTTTTTTTTTTTTTTTTTTTTTTAATTTTTTGAGGGCTTTTTGTTTGGGCTTGGAATTCTTCAGCATTGCTTTTTAATCTGTTTAGGTTGAGAGTATCTCATTCCGTTAGAATCCTCTGCACATTATTTGGAGTAATGAGTTATATCAGTAAATTTTAAATAACTTGTATTGTGCTAACAGATTTGATCAAAAGCACCTTATTAAAGATTATTTCTATAGAAAAACATCTGTTCATATTCATTTATATAAGTTTAGAAAGTTGTTCAATAGCGACTAGAGTAGAGAACAGCGGTCTGTATAGTAATAGAGGATAGTGGAAATGGTGATCCAAATAGAGTGGAGATGTGAAATAGCTATTATTTGTGACAATACTTTCTATATGTGCATTTCCTCTATGGTCACATGGTCAATTCAATAATGGGATCACCTGTGTTTGCTCACTGGCGATCCATGTTTTAAGTCTCGGCAGCAACACTTTATTCCTATATAACACAAAGAGTCCTCTGCAGGAGCTAGCTTAAATACTGCCTGATAGGGTGGCTTGTAAGCTAGTTTATAATAAAATGTGCACTGCAGTTTTGGGTATAAAAGGAAAATAAGAGTTTCACCCTTGAACCATGAAAGCAACAATAATGGCTAGTATAATATATTAATATATATTTTTAACCTGGCATAATCTGTCAACCCTGAATCTGAGCTCAATGAAAATTGTTCCCTGTGCCTAACTTTTCTAGAGCTTTTGAATGAGCTATGAATCATTGAAATTGACCAATGGGAGCAGAGGAGTTGCTTGGACACGTGCACAGACATACTGTACTTTTATATACAAGATACAAAAGATTCATCAAATAAAAGTAAATACAAAAGTACTTGTTTTCCAGAGTGTTTGATTTCACTTACAAAATTCAAATATTAAAGTTGAAAATTTAGGAATATAATTTCCATAGTTTTGGCTATTCATGAATGTTGGTATTCTTTTCTGAAATAACTTTATTTCTATATCTTTTTTTCTATTTAAGAAAATTTCTTAAAACTAGTTCCTTTTTATTGTAGTTGAATTTTACTCTTATTAATATCACTTCCAATGATTTATTTAATCCTTGAAAAAGCTGGATTAACAATCAAATCCTCAAAACAAAATAGAAATTAAAATGTAAGAACAGCCTTTATGTGGTTGTTGTTTTTTGGTATTTGATCTTAGCAGAATCTATCATTTATTCATACTTGATCTTTCTTTCATTGTCCTCCATACAACACTTTCTGTTTATAATAAAATTCACATTAAAATTTCTTAAATATTACTCATATTACCACATCAGAACTTGATAATGCCAAAGAATTTAAAAAGGGTATGTTTTATTTTATTAAATGAATATGGCTGAGAGATTGTTATGGGTTGTGTTGGAATGCAATATTATGTGATGCTTGCTTGGGGATGCAATGAAAGTGGGTGGGTGTGAAAACTGTCATC